AGGGTCGCTCCTGCCATTTCATTGCTTGATCCAATCCGCCCTTTTCCCACCCCCACCTCCCGTGGTGACCAACCTCTTGAGTTTCTGGTGCAGCCCTCCTGTATTGGAGTGAGAATTTCTCTACTTAGGTCACTGGAGCTTGTGTCCTATGCAGTCAGGAGGACGGGATTGGGGCAGAGAGGGGAGGTTGGAGCCTCGGAGGACAGGAGAGGGGAGAGGAAGGAGTGACCCAGAATGGAAGCCTGTAGGGTCAGCCCAGGACCACGTGCCTTGGTGCTTCTCTTATTCCCACCGGTGGGACCAGGGCTTCAAAGCACGGGCCTGGAAGATTTCCTGCTTGTCCGACAGGAAAGCAGTGCGGGGTGCCAGCCAGAGCCTGGAGGCCCATGCCTCCTTCCTCATGCGATGCCCTCTCCTTCTGCCCTTCAAACTGTTTGAGAAGCTCCCCAAGAAAAGCAGCCTTCCTCCCTGCCCCATGGGGGGCTGCCTCAGGAAGCCAGGCCCAGGCAGAGCCCAGCCCTCCGACCAGTCCCGAGCCTTAGGGAGGATGACCCCGCCTGCACCATGGGGTCACAGCAGCATGTGCCTCCGTCTGTGCCCTCTGGGGTCCCCCACACCCACCGCAACTCCAGGCCTCTCTGGCCTGTGCAGGGTCCCGGTAAGGACTAAGACGAGTCCTCTTCACTGGCTCAGAAGAGGAACTTGGGGGTGGGGGCCGGCCCCGTTGGCTGTTTCAACACTACCCCACCACCAGTAGGGGGCTGGGGGGCATTCCTGGCAGCAGCTGCAATTTCACAATGGGAGCTCCTCTTAATGAGATGGGGAGGGGCTGCCTTGCTTGCTGAGCTTTTGAAAAAAGGCATCGTCCCAGGGAGACGGGGTGTCACTGTCTTCCCCACGCACCTCTGCCCCAAAGCCGTGGGGTTCTGCTGACAAGTCACAAGAAACGGCTGGCGACTGACTCACCAGACGGAAATGAGCATGCCAAGGGGCGAGGCGCGCCGCCGCGTGCTGGGTAACCCCAGGGCAGCACAGCTCAGGGTCCCTGGCTGGGCTGCATCTGCCCCCTCCCTCCGGCTCCCCGGGCCCAGTGCCTCAGGTGAGTCCTGCCTCTAAGAAGAACTTGGGGCAAGCTCTAGATGGCCTCGGAATGCCAGTGAGGCTGGCACACCAGAGCTCTGCTCGGTGCCCCGAGGGTATCCTGCCTTTCCGTGGAGGAGCAGCCCCAGGACGCTGTGTTCTGACCCCTTTCAGGATAGGGCTGAGGACGTCATTTGCATCTGCGGTGCATCCGTTACAGTGTGGGACGCAAGGCAGGGTGACTCATTCCCACCTTGTGCATAACCGGCTTGGCCATCGCAGCAGGGGCTGGGTGGAGGGATGTCCTAAAACCCAGTTCGCTCAGTTCAGCCTCCACTGCAGGGCAGAGACGCTGGGCCCCGTGAGCCACCATGGCCGTCAGCAGCTCAGCCCCAGAGAGTGCGGCTCGGTGTCCGCTCTCCGGCGCACACTCCTGTGAGCCCTGGTCCTCTCTCTCTGGGGGACGCAGGTCTGTGCTGGGCAGCTGGTGTGGACGGACACGGTGGGCTCAGGATCCTCAGCAACTGAGAGTCTAGACCTCTTGTGGCAGAATCTTGTTAATTGAGTCTTCACTGGTTGGGGAAGAAACATGTATTGGTTTTATTTGTCTTCCGGTAACTGCCCCTGACTATGCTGAGGGGCAGTGTACGATAGTGGTTAAAAACCTGGGCTCCCTGCGTTCTCCCATCCAAGTACTAACCAGGCCAGACCCTGCTTAGCTTCTGAGATCAGACGAGATCAGGCGCGCTCAGGGTGGTACAGCTGTCGACTGCGTTCTTATCCTGGTTTTGCCACCTCCTAGCTGTGTGACTTTGAGCAAGTTGTTTAACCTCTCTGTGCCACAAATTTCCCATCTCTTCATCCCGCCCCCTCCAGCTTCCCGAAAAGGTGGTCCAGCCTTCAACCTCTTACTGATAAGTTTCCCTCACCCTGCTGGTGGTCCTCTGGGGAAGTATCACCAAAATGGCTCAAGCCTAGCTTTTGTTCCTGGTATCCACCTGCCACCCTGACAGGGAGCACGTCTTTGACTTGCCCAGCAGTGGGCCTGCAAGCTGGCCCTCCCACCCCTTCATTCAGCCCTGCCGTGGCTCACAGGGAGCACAGGAGCGGGTGAGCAAGTTTGCTGGCTGAGCGGACAGGGGACTGAGGAGCACAGTGGGGGCACCCTCACTGACAGGCACCCAAGTCTGTATAAGGGGTTCTTTGAAAGCCCCTCTGCCCTCGGCTTCGGGGAGAGAAAGAAGAGCCTTCCAGAATGGCCAAAGACCCCTTGTCTCTTCCCAAGCTGACAATGATGGGGGTGAGTGGGTCGCTGTGCCAGTTCTGGTCTGACACCTGCCAGGAAGCCCACCAGGGTGGTCGCAGGCCCATCCCTGACAGCTCACTGTGGCTCCTGGAACTTGAGAGTGCAGCGCATTTAGCCCTTTCGTCCCTGGAGCTGGGCCTCAGCCACAATCTGGGAATACACAAAAAGTCCTGCTTAGTACCCTTGTCTGTTTATACTGCTGTTACTTCTCCCAGCTCTGTCCCCACCCCCCGGCTGCCTTGAATAAGCCCCTTACCCTCTCTGGGTCTCAGCTTCCCCCTCTGTAAAATGAAGGGCTTGCCAGGAGACCGCCGAGCTCCCTCGAAGAACCCACCCCAGGGTTAAATGGGGAGAAATCAGCCTGTGAGGACAAAGGGTGCATGGTGACATCTGGACCAGCCATTCATGCGCCACACGCATCCGTTTGAAGGTGCCTGCTGTTCTAGCTCCCCCAGCAGGCGCTGCGAGCCCTGAGCCCGAACAGGGCCAAGCTGGAGAGGGTCTTGTGTCAGGGCTGCCACTGAAGGCAGAGGGTGAGGCCTTGTCACGGGTGTGGGTCTCCTGGCACTCGTCCATGCCAGGCACAGGCACAGCCCGAGGTGGGGGAGGGGCCTCAAAACCAGAAATCTGCCCATTCTGGCCCAAGGTCCATGGACTCACCACCTGGGCTGCCTGTGGAGGAGTTAGCAAACAAAAGACCCAAAGTCAGTTGGGAAAGTTCCACGGAAGGGCCTAAGGATGTCTTTGGGTATCCAAGGGCCACTAATGGAAACACCGAAGATTCTTTGTCCCGAATCACAAGTGAAAGATTTTCTGAACTCAGCTGGCCACTTTAACAGCCAGAGGGCATGGGACCTGGAGGGTTAGTCTGTGTCCTAGGCCAGCCCAGCACCCTGGCCCCGGGCTCTAGGGTCTAGGTCTCTGGCAAGCTAATTCCTGCACCCAGACCCTGGCACGTGCTGCCTCCTCTCTCTGGAACTCTTTCCTCCCTCACTCCTCCTGGCTTCCTCATCCCACTTAAATGTCCCTTTTTCAGAGAGGCCTCCCTGACTCCCAACCCCCTAGAGTGGAGGGGTCCCCATTGTCCCCCCCCCAGCACCATCCTTTCTTCATAGCATGTTCCGCCTTCCAAGATCACCTCTTTCTTTGCCTATTAAATCGTTCAATGTCTATGTCTCCCCCCAGGGAGCATGCCTGCTTGGTTCACTGCTGTCTCCCTAGTTCCTGGCACATAGTAGGTGGTCAGTAAACCCACGGTGAGTGGTTCCTCCCAGGCTGGGAAAGCAGGAGGATTTGCCTACGTGGCGCCTCCGTGAGCTGAATGCTGCTGGACCCGGGTTAGGATCGTATCTCTTTGCATGTCGTTTGCATGGCGCAGCTCTGAGCCTGTACTTCCTCTTCTGGTTTCCCGGTTGTCTCCAGATCCACAGAGCTGGGCCGCTGCTTCCTTGGCTTCCCCACGAAGTGGCCTGACTGGCCAGTGAAAGGGTCTGCTCCGAGGGGGTGAATGCAGTGAGAGTCCCCAGGCCAGGAGCAATATGTCAAAGACATAGCACAGCACGGTAGCTGTTGTGCACTGGAAGGTGTCCCGGTGCCTCCGTATGGCATTTAATCTTCCTGACAGCCCTGTGAGATTAGCATCGCCATTGTCCCCATTTTACAGATAAATAAACCGAGGTTCGGAAAAGCTAAAGAATTTGCCCAAAGTCACATGGCTAGCAAATATCAGAGTCTAGATTTGAGTCCAAGACTGTTGGACGCCAGAGCCAGGCTTAGTCACTGTGCCACACTGCCTCTCACGGCTTCCCGAGGGACCTGGGAACCCTCGCACGTAACTGAGGACCTAGGCTGGTCCTGCTGGAAGCTCTCAGTCCCCATCTCTGTGCTAAAACCCCTCATTAGGTCCCCTCCTCAGTGGGCTTCCAGCTGAGCTAAGCAGCCCCTGGTCTCTCCTCAGTAGGACGCGGGAGGGGGCCAGGCCATGTCTTTGGTACTGGGAGCATTGCCACCCCTCAGAGAAAGGGAAGGAAAATGGTGAAAGTGGAGGTTAGGGCAGAAAAGAAACAGGTGCCTGTGACCTGGGCACCCAAACAGTGGCTGTGACAAGGCGGGGGTGGGGAGACATGTGAGGACAGCCCCCCTCAGCACATCCTGCGACCTTCCCCTCAGGAACAGGCTCCCTGCCCCATCCCTGGGGGTTTGGGGGACACAGACCTAGAAATTCAGAAAAAGTGTCCCAGGTGATTGTGATTTTCCCCTCGGGACCCTCCTGTCCAGCCCACTGGGGTCTGGCCACTCCCTGGGCACTTGGCAACACTCCCCTCTGCCCAGAGGGGCAGGCAGGCTCCTGCCTGCCTCCCTGCTCCCATCACTGACCTCTGACCTTCCTCGCATCCTGCTGCTCAGACGCTCCCACCCCCGAGGCCGTTCCTGCACTGGGGCAGCTGTAAGCCCCTGGTGCCACACGCACAGCTCCGCAGCTGTAGCGGCTCGTCGCGCTGGGCTGTGTGTGCCTGTTGTCTTTGCGGCTGCCCTGCCGGACCAGGTGCCGCCCAGCCTGGCACTCGATGGGAAAGGAGCGCGACAGGCTGACTGGCATCTGTCCCCCACGCAGGCAATGACTCAGGATGCAGCCTGGGGCCACGACATGCACGGAGGACCGCATCCAGCACGCCCTGGAGCGCTGCCTGCACGGACTCAGCCTCGGCCGCCGCTCCGCCTCCTGGTCAGGTGGGTCTGAGGAAGCTGGGCAGGTGTCCTGAGGGCCCAGGGAAACCTCTGGGGCCATGGTGGGCGCTGGACCAGGCTCGGAAGCTGGAAGATTCTAGTTCAAATCCTGTCCTGAGCAAGTCCTTGGACCTCACCTGGGAGGTGCCCGGCACAGTGCCTGACATAGAGCCAGTCCTCAGTGTGTAGCACTTTCTCCCATGATATTGTCCTCATCTTACCCAGTGCTGCATCTTGCTTCTTGAAGAGAACATTGACCCTGCTTAGAAATACCACAGCTGCTGACTCCCGAAGAGCAGCTGGGAATTTGTGGGTGGCTCCCCCCAGAATTCTCGTTTGCTAGTTTCTAGGTCCTTCCACAGCCCCACCCTCCTCTTCCCTGTAGAACAGGAGAGAATCTCAGCAGAGCTGCAGGGAGCAGGAGGCCTAGCTGTTCCCCACTCCCCAGGACCGAGAAACACAGGCCTGGGCGGTTGCATCTCTGGAGGCTGGTGCCGAGTTGTGATGATTCCTTATGCTTGCAAAGATCTCACGCCCGTATCTCACTTGCTTTCCTAACAGCTCCCTGAGATAGATGCCTACTGCTCCTTGGACGTACCTGCTTCCTCTGTCCTCTAGCACCTTTGCACCTGCTGCCTGGGACTCTTCCCTGGGAACTGCAGACGGCTGGCTCCTTCTTGTCCAGCTTGCAGGTCAAATGTCACCTCCTCGGAGAGGCTTTCCCTGGCCTTTGGATTTAGTCAGATGTGGATTAAAACTAGCTCCCATCGGTTGTACAACCTCGTGCAAGCCACTTACCCTCCCGTGACCCCACTTGCCTTGTCTATAAAATGGGCATAATAATAACAGGAGCCACCTTCCTGAAGGGAGCGTGGAGCCTCAATGGAGGTAACGTATGCAAAGGCCAGCACCGTATAGTATGGCACGTAGCAGGTTGTCCATAAATGGTAGTTTTCCTTCTTGCCTCCTACCCAGGTCCTGATGGAGCCCAAGCTTGTAGAGTTGGGAGAGGGGGCATCATTAAGTAAAGGAATACAAAAATATCTGACTTTTGCATATTTTACCCAAACTTATGACCACATGGACACACCGTTAGGGGCCTCCAGGGCTTTGGAAGGAGCCCATGCGTGTGAGGGGGCCCGGAGCTGGGGCTCCATGAAGTTCAAGGCCAACCCACTTCCACCCCTGCTGCTGTCACTCCCCACTCCGCACACACACGCACGTGCACATACACGCACACCCTCCCTGCCGTGACCGCCCCTTTAATTTTTAGGGGTTTACCCTTGCTGACTGTGGTGAAACAGACTGAAAAAATAAGAAAGTCTGGGGAAGTTACGGAGTGACAAAATGCTCATTGTAGCTTTTAAAATAGAAATAGTTTAGCTTCCTCTTCCTGGACTCCATTGCCAGGCAGTCCTGGGAAGCCCCACAGCTGTCCCAGACTCAGTCCTGTGTCTCGGGGTGGAGCTCGCTGTGGCAACTCTATTCTTCCATCAGTTTCTGCCTGTGTCCTAACTGCCCTGCCTCTCGTAGGTACCAGCACCCCCGTAGGAAACCAGGCCAGGGGACGTTTGGGAGAACCAGTGCTCTCCAGAGGCACAGGCAGCAGAGTCATGGCGAGTTAGTTCACTGGCCTCTCTAAAGGGGATCCCAGGCCGAGTCTCCAAGCCCTGTGTTTCTTGTATATGCAGGATAGGAAACTTGCCGTCATGTCTTGATGGGGCATGGTAGGGTTGAGTGTTAGTCCAGCGTTTTCTCCTAGACTCTCTTACTTTGGAAAAGAATATTCCAGTGCAATCTCACAATGGAAGCTCCAGGGTAGACCCCACCCCCTTCTCTACAGCCTCTGCCTGAGGGTGGCCAGAAAAGACCAGAACTGACCATTCACCTCTCTCCTTTTCCAGCCGGGCTGTGTCTGAACTGCTGGAGCCTGCAGGAGCTGGTCAGCAGGGACCCGGGCCACTTCCTCATCCTCCTTGAGCAGATCCTGCAGAAAACCCGAGAGGTGAGGGCAAGTCAGGAGGTGAAGGGCAGAGCTGGGGTTGGCCTCACAGAGTCGAGAAGTAGGTGCCAGCGGACATCAGCCCTGGGGTGTCTGGACTCCCAGAGGGGCTCGGCAAAGGCCCTGGGAACCCGCGAGTTTTGTGTTTCAGCAGTGCCTGTGCACTGTTTCTAGGACCGGCTGTGTTCCTGTCAGTGAGAACACGCGGTGCCTGAGCCGGGGTCCTGACTTTAAGCTGCTTCTTAGGACAGACTTTGCTTGTCAGTCAGGGTATTGACTGGAAAGGAAGACGACACTTTGCTGAATTCCTTTCCTCAAAAAGATGCATGAAAACAAAGACACGAAAGAGAAAACTGATTGGAAGGGTAAACTGAAGCCTCCTCTGACAGTTCAATAAATGGGCTTTTATGACAAAGAAGAGGAGTGTGTTTAGTGCTGCACTGGGCTTGGGTTCCAGAACAGCCGTGAGAACCAAAAGAAGATTTGGGCTCTTTTATAGAGAATTATCTTTTAAGCGTTTTTTAAAAAATTATTTTAAATACGTGACTAAGTTGGAAAACATGTCACTTTGTCCCTCAGTTAGCTGTCCCCATAAGAAGAAACTTTTGGTTCATCAAGACACCCAAGGTTACAATTCTGGCACCGCCATCTACCCGGTGCTTGTACACCCTCATCCTAAGCAAACCAACTCAGAAAAATTAAACTACCTCTGGCATGCCGAATGTATAAATAAACCCACATATGAGGGTCAACCACCATGTAGCAATAGGGAAGGTTTCGCAGAAAGGTCTGAGCCGCAGGTAGGTGTGGCGGACACATCGTCTATGAAGTATAAAAAGAAGAATTCTAAATTTGAGCCTGCTGAGGTCGTCCAACGCAGAAGACACAGAGGGGCTTTCTCTGTGTCTCCACACCCCACGAGTTCCAGAATGGGCTGAGAAACCTTTAGCATTTGGACCAAAGAATTCTAAATCATGTGCCATGCACATGTGAACATGAGCTGTGGTGGGCTCTATCAAAGAGACAGTTCACAAAAGAATAAATAGAACTTGCAAACAAATATGAAAATAATGTTGCCTCAGTGATAATACAATAAATGTAAATTGTAACCATGAGACAGATTTTGCCTAGCAAATTAATGGAAAAAAAAAAAAGGCAATAACCATTGCAGGAAGAGTGTAGTAAAACTGGTACTTTCATACATACAAGATATTATAAATGGCAAAATCCTTTCGGAGGGTGATTTGGCAATATGTCTCAAAGATGGTAAGTATGTTTATAATCTTTGATCTGTTGATTATACTTCTTGAGCCCTACTCTAGATAAATAATCCAAATTATAGAAGGAATGTGTGCAATGGTGTTCGTGTGAAATACCGAGAATATAATCTTAAACGTCCACAATGAAACTGATAAATTACAGAGATCTACCAGAAGGAATATTATGCAGCTAAAAAATGATGAACATTATCTAAGGATGTAAACAAATTTAATATATAATAAAATTGCATCACTAAGATTTATCAAACGGTGCAGGGGGAAATTGACTAAACATTTGGAAAAATACAGAGTAAGATTCCCATACAGCATGGTACGGTATGGTAGGATTCACACCACACAGCAGATGAAATTCTAGTTGGATTAAAGATTTAAACTTCAGAAGATGAAGCTTCAAAGAAAAGAAGAAAATATGTGTGAACATTGAAGTGATGCTTGTATGCAAAAGCGAACATCCATAAAGGAAAAGTTGACACTTATAATTTCTGTACATCAAAAATATCTATAAAATTAAAAGACAAACAACCAACTGGAAAAAAATATTCACAACACAAATAAGAGGTAAATGTATAACCAGGAGGGAAAAGACAGGTGGTCTCAGAGACCATGTAGTAAAACTGAAATTCACTGACGATGCTATACATAGAAGACATTAAGAGTAAAACTACACACACTATGAGCAGAGCTTTGTGGAAGAAAATACATGGGGAAAAAATGGTGTAAGGAAAAGTCCATTGAAACAATAGCTGTGGTTGGGTTTGGGAGGGGAAATGGTGAATTGTTTTTTGTGTTGCATTCTATTTTCAAAATTTTTGTCTTGTGGTTACACTGCTTTTCACTTGAAAAAGAAAGAAAAGATAGACTAGAATGAGAAAGCGCTGCTATATTCTGCCTCAGGGAGCCCTGTGCCCGTGAATGAGCCTCCTCCTCCCCCTGTCCTCTCCACAGGTCCAAGAGAAGGGCACCTATGACCTGCTCACCCCCCTGGCCTTGCTATTCTACTCTACTGTCCTCTGTGTAAGTCCGGGGTGGGCCAGGACGGGAGGCGAGGGAGGAGGGGGAAGCACAACCTCTGTCGGGGGCACAGCCCTCACACCTCTGGGGATGAACACAGACAGAGAAACGGTCAAGCAATGACATGCGAGATGGGTTTCAACCTTCTGATGGCTTCAGAGCGGCCATGCCTCTACTAACTCCTTGGCTGCCATTGTGCCCGGCATCTCTGGGCTCCCATGGAGGAACCGTTGTCTCCATCTGTTCATAAGCCATGAGAGAGATCCTATGTCCACCTCATTTTTTACCCCAGTGGTCAGTTTCAGCCAGTGTGATCACCCCTGTATTCACCAGACCGGCAGCACCCAATGTGTGCATCGACTCAATCTACCCTCAAAAAAATCAACCTTTGCCTCCAGTGAGGATATTGAAGTCGAGCGGTTTAGGCATTGAAGACCATTTTCCAACACAAATGGCAGCAATGGCACCATTTATTAATAAGATAACCCCTAAGGCGACAGCTTTCCAGAGAGGCTCTCTCAAGTGGTGGGTGAGCTTTGGTCTGGTGGGTAACACAAGGCCCTTACAGCAGAGACACCCCTGGGCACCATCTTGCCCATCTGTAACTCGCTCCCTACAGGTAACTTCCAGTTCTTCCTGACCTTGTCCTGGGACACACTGCTGCCGGGAAATGTGCGTCCTTTTTGGAATATTCCAGGAAGGGAGCAGAGGCTGTTCTGGAGCATCAGTGAGCTTTTTCTCACCCGGACTCCTCTGCTTGTTGCTCCCTCCATCCTAGACACCACACTTCCCACCAGACTCAGATCTCCTTCTGAAGGCAGCCAGAACCTACCACCGATTCCTGACCTGGCCTGTTCCTTACTGCAGCATCTGCCAGGAACTGCTCACCTTCATCGATGCTGAACTCAAGGCCCCAGGTAAGTGGAGGCAGCTGGCACACTGAGCAGGGCTCATGTGATCTGGATGCTTCTGGCTATTCTGAAGCTGTTCTTGGGCCGTGACCCTCCTCACTTTGCATCTTTTGGTTCATCTCTGCCCATGCCCTGGTTCAAAACCTTGGAATCTCCTCTTCATGGCACCAGGAAGCATCTGATGGCAAAATCTCCACAAGCTGAAAGCAGTAAACACATTGAAGGGAACTCATGGAGGAACTTCAGGGAAGCTGGAGCGGGCGCTTAGGGCAAGGAGACCTTGCCACTTGGCCTGTGCCTCTGATCTGCTTAGCCAAGGGGTCTCCAAGGCTGCCTAGGTCAGAGAAACCCCAGAATACTGACAAGAGGCCTTTCTTGTTCTCTTTGCCCCAGGAACAAATAGGTAATTGCATATGTGGGTTGATTCAGTTCTGGCTGGGAATGGATGGGTTGATGGCCCCCGAGATAAGTGTGGACAAGGACTCGGTACTCAGTTTTTATATTTTGGGTCTGAAAAGTAGGAGTTCTTTACAAATTGCAGGTGCTGTTATAGACATGAAAATGAGGTCTAGGGAAACTATGACAGAGCAAGGGAAAACACAATCAAGTATGATTTGCTGAGAGGTGGTGCTTCACATCAATACTCAAAGGAATAAAGTTACGTAAGCATCTCAATAAATGCCTCCAGAACATTTGATAAAATTCAACACCCATTCTTGATGTTCAAAACCCCTCAATATATGGAAACCATTGCTATAGAAGTGTTTTTAATACGGCAACAGCCCAAGGTGAAATACTAGAGGCATTTCCTGTAAAGTCAATAATCTTCCTCTTTTTGCTTATAGGTATTTTGCCTATGCAAAAGACAAAAATAAAGAACATTTTAATAGTTTAGAGCTCAAACAGTTGTTTACCTGTCTAGACTGAGAGAATCGCCTCAATGAAGAATTGTCAGAACAAGAAAACAGGTCTTTAAGAGCTTTTTCATAAGCCAGCATTAGCCAGTAAGAAAACATAATGAAAAAAATTATGATAGCAACTAAAAATAAAAAATAAATAAAAGAAAATTTAATAACTTATATAGAGAAAACAAACTTTCCTGAAGAATAAATAATTGAGAGACATTGCTGGATCAAATCAATATTATAATAATACCAGGTGTTATAAAAATAAATGCAATCACAATCAAAATATCAGCAATATATTTTTTAAATTAGCAAAATAAAGTCTATTTGAAAGAGTAAATGCTCTTCAGTAGCATTTATTTATGCATTTATTATATATTTATGTATTCTTAATAACTATATAGCTATAGTTATTAAAATAGTACACCATTGGTATAAGAATAGGTAGATTAATGGAACAAAAGATGACAGCTAGAAACAGTTACATATACAAACATTTACTATATGACAAAGTGGTATCCTCAAACCAGTGATGAAGAAAATTAGTCATTTAATAAATGGCATCAAGATAATTGGCAGGTCATAAAAAAACTGAGTTAGAATTCTATCTCAAAAAAAATTAAGAGTTGTATTTCAGGCCGGGCGCGGTGGCTCACGCCTGTGATCCTAGCTCTCTGGGAGGCCGAGGCGGGCGGATTGTTTGAGCTCAGGAGTTCGAAACCAGCCTGAGCAAGAGCAAGACCCCGTCTCTACTAAAAATAGAAAGAAATTAATTGGACAACTAAAAATATATAGAAGAAATTAGCCGGACATGGTGGCGCATGCCTGTAGTCCCAGCTACTCGGGAGGCTGAGGCAGGAGGATCGCTTGAGCCCAGGAGTTTGAGGTTGCTGTGAGCTAGGCTGACGCCACCGCACTCTAGCCCGGGCAAAAGAGTGAGACTCTGTCTCAAAAAAAAAAAAGTTGTATCTCAAACATAAAAATAACTTTCAGACAGATTAAAGGTTTATGTGTGAAAAACAAGACGATAAAAGTGGTAGAAGAAAAATAGGGTGACATGAACCTGGAGCGAGAAGAGTGGCCAAACACGTCCCCCAAGGCAAAGATTATAAAGAAAAAGACTGACAGATTTGAAAGCATAAAATTTAGAGCATTTATATGGCAAACCCACTAAAGTGAAAGGTAAATGACAAACTAAGAAAAATATTTGCAACAAAAAATTAATATATCAAACGCATGAAGAGTGCTTTTGAATCAATTAAACAATAGGCCAACACACCCATGGAAATATGAATGAGGATGTGATTCAGGTACCTCAACAAAGAACCCTGAACGGCTGAGCAAGACCCCCCAAAATATTCACCCTCACTAGTAATAAAGGGAACTCAAAACTAAATAGTGAGACTCTTTTTCCCCTATTAAACTGGCAAAGATTAAAAAAAAAAAAAAGAACAAAAACACCAGTGTTGCTAAGGAAAAGAGGAGCTGTGTTTGCTAAAGCATCGGAAAGAATACCCTTTCACCCAGCAATTCCACTCCTCGAAATTTATCCTGATAAATAACTATGGATGTGCAAAGACTCAGCTACAAGGGTGTAGGTGTAGGTGAATGCAAGAATGCATTCTTTCTTATAATCAGCCAATGCCAAAAAGCCTAAGTATTGAACATGGTGGAGTATAGCGTGGCAGAGTCACTTGGTGGAATGCTATTCAACTGTTAAAAATGATATTGTAGGAATGGAGTTACTGAGATCAAAAGATGTTGAATAACTTGTTGAGTAAAAAAGCAGGCCCCCAAATACTATATGTGTTAAAATCTCATTTTTGTTTTTAAATTTCAAACGTATGCATGCATCAGGCCCTGCTTAGTGACGGCAGCATTTAATTCCTGCCATACACATAAAACACACAAGGGATAGAAGTACCAAATCCTGTTCCCCAACAACTCATGGACCCTATAAAGCCCAGGACTGAAGCTTTGTGTATAAGTTTCTTTGGAAGGTTCATAACTGTCTTCCCCAACCAATCAGCTGCCCTGTCTGCCCCCGTCAGTCAGCTCTCTGTTGTTACAAATGAGCACAGCAGGTACAGGCTAGGGTTGGCCAACCCCAAAGTCTCCCTGTAACGTGGCCCTCACATGATGGTAGAAATCTGGGTGGAGAGTTAAAAAAAATCAGGAAGGCCCTGAGAACATACTGGACTCAGAAAAGTGCTTGGGCACACAATGAATAGACAGTGTGCCAACCTAACTTGCCAAGGCACCCTAAATGAACAAACCAGTTTAAAGTCAAATTCTTTCATTCCTTTCCTCCTTCCTGCTGCCCGCCAAAACAAACAGATCTAGATCTCTTCTGGGCTTCTTGCTGTGACTGGAGCTCTTCTATCAGGAGACAAAGCTTTCATTCCCTTCTACAATTTTGAAAGAAAGGATTTAAAATGCAATGCCTTGGCAGGGCCTTCTTACCAAGTAAGATTTGGTACTTCATTTATACCAAAGATCTAAAAAATGACTCTTTCTTATTTTGAAATGGGTAAGGAAGATGCTGGGTTGGGGGAGGGGATCACTTGTGGGGAGACCGCTTCCCAATTTCAAGCAGAGCCTCAGCTGCGTGCGCGCTATGCCCGGAGATGTTTCTGTGTGCAGCTGGGCAGGAGCTCTGCGCCGGGCAGCCCAGCGAGCAGATGCGAAGCGGCGGGGTGGCGGTGAGGCCCAGGCCCTGGGATGACGGGGTGCTAAGTCTGGCGCACACAAGCCAGGCAGAGCAGCTCTGGAGATGAAGGTGGAATGGGGGCCCTTTGGCCTCAGAGCAGGGAAGACCCTAGAACCATCGCTCACTACTGAGGGCCTTCTCGACATCGTCCCCGGGACCCCGTGAGGCCTCAGATGCCCTGGTGACCAGGGAGAAGGCAGTTGCCTAGAGAGGGAAACCCAAGCCAAGCTGCCTGTGCTGGAAACTTCTCCTCTTGGAGGGAAAGCAGAACTGAAATAGGAAACTATTAACTCTCTCTCGTGTCAGAGAATCATTTTCAAACAGTTACAAAACCCAACACTTATACAAATATTTAATGAGCTTGTGTCGGAAATCTATCAGCTCATTACTGAGGGAACTGGCAAGACAGTAGAGTCCGTGTTGAGGAGGATATGAGAAACTGATAGAAGGTTCTCATAACAGCTAGAATAAGATTGCAAAATCAGACACAAAATAGTTAATATCATATGGGGGAATAAAACCATAATCTTTGGGGTTATCTTTTCTACCGCACAAAAATCACTTGCAACTTATCTCACATCTACAAGTTAACCTCTAATTGCGCAGAACTTGAGCCCTAATCCATAGCAAATAGTAAGTTAAACAAAATTACCTTCTCCTACGTGACCCCTTATGTGGAATTGCTTTAGTATGATTTTTAACAGCCATGTGATCATTCGTTTGCTTTATTCTTGAGTCCCTCTCACCATCAATAAAGTAGGGGAGGGCTAGAATGGATGCCGGGAACTTGAACTCTTAGAATAGAGGCTGAATATCTTAGAGGTTACCAGTACTTGGGACCAGACCACTGTGGTTACAAATCCTGAGTCTGCTACTCACTAGCTGTGGGGTCTTCAGCAGGGCATTTAACTTATGAGCCTCAGTTTCCTCATCTGTAAAATGGGTGTCTAGTTATGTCTACCTCTCAGAGCAGTTTGTGAGCTCTGTTGCTGGCCTACATTGATTTCACATTGCTGGAGGCAGTAGGTATTGGGATGATATTAGCTTAGAGGGGTCCTGGCAAGGTCACAGGGAGCAGATGACAAGGGATCTAGAGAGCTGGGCCCTCCACCCTTGGAGTCTTAGGGACCCAGTTGCCATGGAGACAAATGAAACAGTTCATCCTGCTTTGATGTGGCTGGGTGGCAGAGGAAGTGGGCCTGTTATCAAGGCTGGGGGCCTCCCCCGGCTTCCTGACTCTACCCCCATAGGGTCGCCTACTGCCTCCACTCTGGAGGTGGCAGGAAACCTCACATCGGTGCCACCGGGTCCTGCCTACCACAGCCCTCTCGGGCTCAGCCCATATGTTTATTGAATATTTACTCTGTGCCTGCAAGGCTGTGAAGACCACAGTACTTGCCTGCAAAGAATTTATCTGTAAACAACAGTGGTCATCTTATGTGTGAGTCACTCTGCAATTTTAAAGCACACGAACCTGAAGGATTGCATCTCACCTGCAGGGTGAGAGGGAAAAGTAATATTATTCCCATTTCATACATGACAAAACTAAGTCCATTGTTTCTTGTGCAGGCTATAAGGTCAAGGGTGAGAGAAGGAATGTGGACTTCGGTATGACAAAAGACCTATACTTTGTCCCGTATTAACTGATGACCTTGGGCAAGTTACTTAAGTTTTCTGTGCTTCCCTGTCAGAAGTAGGACTGTGATTATCGCTCGTGGTGAGGATAGGCTGGCAGTGATGTGAGGTTGCATTTCCTGTGTGCTTGTGCTGTATTGAACGCAGCCAAGGGGTGGTCCTATCCGCCACTCAGAACACCTCTTTGCGTGGTTACTATTATTCCCATTTTTCAGATGCTGAAACTGAGGGCTCGACAGTTCAGTAGCTTGCCCGCAGTCACATGGCTAACAGGTGCTCTGCCACTTGAACCCATGTCTATGTGACTCCAAAAACCATATCATATCCTTTCACGTTTCCGTAAAGCTGTGTCTCTACCAAGAGGCATTGACAGATGACTGGCTGTCTTTTTATAAGCACTTTTCCACCTTAGGAATTGCTCCTGCCCCGTTCCCTTTCAGATTTTCAGGGCCTTCCTGCCCTTGACCTCCCGTCCAATGAGAAACAGACCTGGGTTAGGTCAGTTTTGCCTGTCAACTGGTAGTGGGTGAATGCTGAACATTGTCCAGTGGCAATATGGGACATTATTGATCAGACGTTTGCATTTTCTAGTTTTTGTCTCTGATTATGGAACGAAAGGGTTATACCCCGTGAAGGAATGTCAAACGTCATTGACTAGTAGGTGGGAGAGATTTAGGGAAAAGAGTGGAGGGCAGGTGCTCCAGAATTCACAGGGTGTGATTACTTAGGACTAAGCTGGCTGCCTATAACAGAAAGCCCAAAATAACAGTGGCTTAAACTCATAAGGGCTTATTTTCCTCTCTCTCTCTCTTTCTCTCTCACACCCCCCCCAACACACACACCTGGAAGAAGACAGTCCAGCATTGGCATGGTGGCCCCATGAACATCCTAGACTAGTCTTCCTATCTTTCTGCTCTACTATCCTTAGCAAGAGGCATCATCCTCAAAGTCACTTCATGGTGTAACATGGCTGCTGGAGCTCTGGCCATCATGTCTACATTCCAGTTAACAGAAGGAAGTGAAGGGGGCTGCAAAAAGGGGTCCACCCAATACTTTCTGCAAGGGAGGTTGAGAAATGCGACTTATTAACTGGCTACATTGCCCAAGATCTCATTAGTAAAGAAGAAGGGGGATGGATATTGGGTAGATGCCTAGAAGTCTCTGCCATATATGACTTACTTATAAGAGTGGCCTGGAAAACCCAGATTGGGCCTGTTAGGGTGACTGTCACCAAGGCGGTGACACCTCACTGGTGGCCCTGCACAGCTGGAGACCTCAACTCACAGGCATTCCTGCAGGGTCACTGCTCCTTCCCCTCAGTATTTCCCTCTTGCCCTGCTCACTTCACCCCTTCTCGCCTCCACCTCTGCTCCCAGACTCCCAGCCTTCCTTGTCACATCCTCTCCTCCTCTGCTGCTCACCGAAGTCTGTGCTTCACCCTCCACCCAGGGCCTGCTGAGGCCTCGGGGCCACAAGTCCCAGTTCCTCCAGCCCCTCTAGAATGCAGGAGCCTGGAGGCGGGGAGCAGGAAGGTGCAGCTCGTGGGGGCGCCGCCCAGGAGGAAAGCTGCAGGGAGTGTCGTGCTGGCGTTCGCGTCAGGGAGTGATACGGATCAGACTCTAACTGGCAACCGTGCGTTGATGGTGCTCCTAGACCTTGCAGAGCCGTACCCAGCACAGTCTCACCTGAGGAGTGCGATACAGTCAGGCCTGGGCCCCGCTTCACCCTAGCACTGTTGACTCCGTAGATTCTTGGCATTTGCCTTGTAAGAGGAAACTGAGTCAAAATGTGGTTGTTGCCTGCCTCCTCCTGCCCAAGTACCATCCTCAGCGCAGACGCGTCTGTTAATGTGCTGTTAATTTAATGCCAGTGCTCGCATGATGACGGCAGAGGGAGTCATCTTCATGCGTCCTTGGTCTTCATAGGACCAAGTCAGCTGTTCTGTGCAGAACAGGAATCTATTTGCAGCTTTTTAAAAGCGCAGAAGCTTAGACGGGCACACAAGGCTCGATTGTGAAGGGTCTTGACTGCCCGGGCAGGGAGTGTGACCTTCACCCTGACTGCTTGTTGTCCTCCCCACCCCACCAATACTTGTTCTCTGCCCCTGTGCGGTGGCTTCTCTTGATTTTCTACTTGCTACAACCTGGCACAGGAACAAGATTTTCGTTTAGCACCGGCACCAGTCTTGCTCGAAGAAGCCAGTCCCAGAAAGTTGTTCCCATCTGTTAAGGTGACCAAGAAAGAATGTGATCTAAGATCGAAGGGAGAGAGGGGTCCATTGAGCCAAGGTTCCCCGGTGCGGCTTCCCTGTGCAGGGAGTGTAGGGTGGAGATAGGGGTGGTCCTGGGGCTGATACCACCCCCCACCCCCCTGCTCAGCAGCAGTGGCCTGGCACCGCCAGGTAACATGATGAGAACCAAGGCCCATCCGGCTTGCAGGGTGCTGGAGACGTTTCCAGCCTCACAGCACACACCGGCAAATGGGGACTCCACAGGACAATTACTAAGCCTGGTTCAAAGGAGTCAGTTTGGACAAAAGTTTACAGGCTCACAGCCCCTCCACACTGCACAGTCTTTTCTAATTCGTTCCCAGCTCAGCGCCCGCCCGTCAATCCGTTACCCCCAAAGCCCACATCCCATACTAAACAGTGGGGTCCATTGCCAAGAGAGGCCGAGGAGGGGGCTTTATGGTGTCTTCAGGGCGGGGTGGACGGTTTTATCTGATGACTGTGTGCTCCACCTGCAAGCTGCTGGTGTCTTGGATAATCAGCACCTGCCAACCAACTCTGAAAATAGCTCCCTCTGGGTGAGGGTGTGCCAAGAGGCACAGATGTCCTCCTAAATGTCCCCCCATTAAAGCAGCAGAAACACATGAAGCAGCAGTCATGTGGAGTCCACATGGCTAACAGGAAGCAGCTTCCAGCTCCAACTTCACCGCAGTCCCAAATGGGACAGGTAAGGTATCCCAGGACACACAGGTGCAGGTGCTAGAGACTGTTCCTCGTGCGGAGACTAAAGGAGATGAGCGAGCTTCAAGGAGAAAGTTGTCAATGGTATCAAACACTCCAAGAGACAAGTTCAAGGAGAATCATGGTGGGGTTGAGCTGTTGGGTTTGGGGACTGAGAAAACATTGGTAAGCTTCAGGAGAGGGTTTCAGGAGGCAGGCGGTGGGGTTGGAAGCCCAGGGCTGAGCGTTTTGGAAGAAACCTGATGTGCAGGGACAGTGACGTCATAGCCTGCTGCTCCTGAGCGTGACCAACTGCGTGTCCTGGGCGGACAGAGGCAGAACAGCGGTGAAGAAACGGGGTCGGCAGGGCGTGGGTTACCCATTAGAAAACACGAAGTAGGAAAAGAAACGAGAAATAAGCTCAGGGGATTTTGCATGTGTGTGTTGTGTGGTCAGGTAGATTGGGGGCGTCTGTTTGTGTCCACTGCGATGACTACAGTATTATTCTTCCGGAGGAGCGGGCGACAGGAGCTTTTCTCTGTAATGCATGTGAGTGGCCACCAGGTGGAGTCCTAAGTCCTGATAGAAATAGCCACTGTTGCAGGGATTTTTCTCGCAAAATAGATGTAACATTAACTTCTAAACCTGCAGCGATTACATTAAAAAATCACACAAAAGGCTAAAAATCAAAGCAATTAGGTTCCAAGTTAGAATAGCTTAATTTGGTAATATTCTGCCATATACTGAGCAAAAATCGCCGCCCTTCTGTTTGTAGCTGTCTCTAAGCCCCAGGTCTGAGCTTGCACTTCTGCGGGGCCGTCCTTCCAGCTCCCAGCTCAACCCCGGGCCACAGTGGCCCCGCTCTGGACGGGACTCCCTGGGACTCCCTGGGACTATTTCCGAGCTCTGACAAGAAAGTGGCCTGCTCCACTGAATCCTCAGCCCCCGTCCTGTTGCCCCGGGTCCATGAGGAGAGCGAGTTCTTGCTTAACCTTATGGTTGACGTAGAGCTGAAGGCATACTCTAAATGGGCCACTTTCCAGCCACAGAACTGAGTCAAGATGCAGAAAGAAAAGGGAAAACGTCTGATTTGTCTCTTCTCCGCATTTTGAAATCAGAAGAGGCAGAGAGGGGGAGAGGCCAGAGAGGATGGGGATGCGGGCTGGGAGGGGGGCTGGGGTGCAGATCCCTTAGAGCAGACATGACACCAGGCAAGACCACAGGCCCCCGAGAGGGCGTGGGGCGCCAGGCAGAGACGCAGAGGTGCAGGCGAAGATTGGAAACTCCCCAGTGGCTGGAGCAGATGGGCTGAGGGGCGCCTGGCACAGCCACTATGGGAAGGCACCCAGAGAGGGGAGCAGTGACAACAGGGACCCAGGAACAACTGGGCAGCCTCCTGGGCCCAGGGTCCCCTCCCACTGTGCTCTGCCTCCCAGTCTCTGAAGAGCAAAACGTGGCCAATCCAACTGGGATGGGGCCTGGAAATCATAGACTGCTAAAGGCCTCAGAGGCCACTGATCTTATCTGCCCCTTAGGGGGGAAACTGAGGCCCAGGGATAAGTGACCTGCCCAAGGCCATACAGAAGAGGCAGAAGAGAACTCAGGCGTCCAGCCCGGGCTCTAACCGTGCATCCCTTGGAGGGTCCTAATAGCAGCTCTCTTCCCCAGGGTTCCTCTGAGCCTTGTACGGAAACGTCCAACCTGCCCGTCCACTGCCTGGCTCGCACAGGGCATAAGGATACAGTGCTGAGGGACAGATAAGCCCATGAACTCTTTTTTTTGGTTGTTGGCCCACAGGAATCTCCTACCAGCGACTGGTGAGGGCCGAACAGGGCCTGCCCATCAGGAGTCACCGCAGCTCCACCGTGTGAGTGCTCTTGGGGGAGGGAGAAACGGGAAGCGGGGTGTAGGTTCATTTGTCTAGGCTGAAGGTCTTTCTTCAGATTCCTAAAGGGGTCTGCATCAATTGTGCCAGGCGTTAGGCACACATTACCTCACTTTATCCATACTTTTCGGATGAGGAACTGCAAGTCAGAGAGGCCAAGTAACTTCCCCAAGGCCACCCAGCTAGCAAGTGTCTGAGCCAGGATTTGAACCTCAGTCTTATGCAAAAGCCCATGCTATTTCCACAGTATCTTTCTGCCTGTTACTGAAACAGCATTTCCAAACAGTTTCGACCAGGACCTACAATTAAAACTACATTTTCTATGACAGCCTGGTACATGCAGGCACACAAGCACGTGTGCACCTGCACACACACACACGTGCACACACACAGCTGAATGAAACTCACGCCTGCTGCACAGGATGAGCTCTGTCCTATTCGATTCTATTTCATTCAAGAAGCAGATTCTGGTTGTGGCTCCTCAGATTGGTTTCACTGCCCACTCCCGGGCACTGACCTGTAGTCTGTAAAGCACTAGAGAGGGGGTGCCCATTCCCAGGCCCCTCCGGAGGTCTCGCCTACGTTGGGAGCCCAGGGGCTGCAGCCTTCATCGGCTCAGAAACTAAAGCTCCCCTCACCCTACCCCAGCCCCAGCCCCAAGGGTTCACTTCGCAGTCACGCTGTGAGAAACACTTCTGGAGTTCCTTCTAGATAGGAACAAACAAGCCTGTGGTAGGTGTGGAAAGAGACAAAGAGGACGTGAAACTGTTGCAGTTCAGGGAGTGAATAAGAACTCCCCCCCCCCGCCCCCAGGACGGACGCAGGTGGGCTGCTGAGGAATTGGGAACAACTTTTAGGCACCTCCTGGGCTGCAGGCACTGTCGCAAGTGTTGACTCAGTTAACCCCTCCTGCTAACCCTGCGAGGAAGGGATTTTTCAGATAAGGAGACCGAGGCAAGGAAAGGTTGCACAGAAAGAGCCCAGGGTTGGGAGAGGGTCTCACGTTCCTTGTCTATAAACTAGGAAGGATGAAAAGTTCTTTTGCAGAGAATTCATGTCAGCTGGTGAGGGCAGGGGCTCGGCTGGTCTCGCCTGCACACAGTGGTGCTCAGCACATGTCCGTGGAAGGAGCGAGCAAGCGCTTAGCAAGGGACGGGGGCTCCGGAAGCCTGGAGGGAAGGCTGCCCGCATGGTGCTTCTTCGCACTGGGTCTGAAGGCAGCACGGGCTTGTGAGAGCGAGAGCAGTGCGGGCAGTCACAGCAAAGCGTTTGGGGATATGACACCACGGTGGCTCGCGCTGGCTTCGAGACCATGCGGTGATGGCGGGGATGGCGTGGGTGAAGTGAGAATGACCGTGTGTTATTGTTAACCGTTAACTGAGCGATCAACACCTCAGGGTCCACGATCCTCTTAATATTTGGAGGGTTTGAAAGTTTCCATAATAAAGAGATTTAAACAATGGCACTAAGAGGGACTCCGGGTGTCCATCAGGAAGGGAGATAGAGTAGCTGGCCACACACCCCCTCCCAGCCTGGTGCTAGCCTATAGGATGGCGTTGGGCTAATTATTGATAGAAATGGTGTCCCCTATAAGTGGACGAATAAGATGCAGCCCTGACTTGGCACCCCATCCTCTGGGCAGGTGCAACCCCCACGCTATGAGGAATTTCAGGCCCCACTCACCCCAGGCCACACTGCATGTGGCTGCCCTGCTCCCTGGATCCCCAGAAAAGTGGTCACCTGGCTTCAAGTCACTTCGCCTAAAATATGGTCCTCTTTTGAGGAATCTTGTATCCATTCAGATGTCCCATAAGAAAAAATGTTTATATAGAAGTTAAGGTAAAATTTATTTTTAAAAATTAAGTTCAATTTTGAAAAGTTCTTTGGAAATACCAGTTGAAAAATAATTAGACCCCAAGCTTCCCCCGGGACCTGGGGCCCTGGAGCCGCCCTCCTGTGTCCTGGCCTCCTGCCATCACTTCCCCGGGCCCTGCCTGCTGAGCACCGGCAGGCGTGATGCGTGGCTGCACCCCGGTGTGCTGGCCGCCCCCAGGTGCCACAGCTGGTCCTGTGCCCCCAGCACTGTGCTGTTGCTGAACCCAGTGGAGGTGCAGGCCGAGTTCCTCGCCGTGGCTGACAAGCTGAGCGCGCCCGGACACTCGCCCCACACCACCTACACCACCCTGCTCCTGCACGCCTTCCAGGCCACCTTTGGGGCCCACTGTGACTTCCCAGGCCTGCACTGCAGGCTGCAGGTATGTACCTGGGTCCTGGGGCTCAGTGGAGCACTTTTCTGGGGAGGCAGAGCCTCCTCTCTGCACCACCTCGGCTACAGTCTCTGGAGTACGCTGGTCCTCCTCACCCTGAGGGACATGGCAGGGCAGTGGCTGCAAGACTGGCCTCGTCGAGGGGTTTCTGGAGTGCTGGATCCTGACTGGAGCTGGGTGGCACCCTGGCCAGCGGGCCGGGTGTCTGGTGCCTCAGAAAATGGCACATGCCATGGGAATGGGAATGAGCTTTGGACTGAAGACCTGGCATCTAGTCCTGGCTCTGTGACAGGTCAGCTGTGTCGCCCTGGACAGCCTTTTCCCCTCTCTGGGGTTCAGTGAGGCACTCTGAAGGCCCTCCCAGCTGCAGTGCCATGGCTGTGGGCCTCTCTCTCCCGACCATTTCCTGAGAATGGGAGTTGAGGGGGCGGCCTGGCTTCCTGGCCAGCTGCGGGGAGAGGTAGGGGGCAAGGCCGGGAGGGAACTTGTCGGTCACTGCTGCCCTTCGCAAGACCCTAGGAACTGGAACAGGTGCGCAGCCAGGCTATGGTACAGGAGCAAACCCTCTCTCCTCCTGGAATTTCAGGCCAAGACCCTGGCAGAGCTTGAGGACATCTTCACAGAGACTGCAGAGGCACAGGAGCTGGCCTCTGGCATCGGGGATGCTGCAGAGGCTCGGCAGTGGCTCAGGACCAAGCTGCAGGCGGTGGGAGAAAAGGCCGGCTTCCCTGGGGTGTTAGGTGAGGCTCTTGGGAGGGTGGGGCTCTGCCCACTTCCCCGCCCCCGTTCTAGCTCCACAGGTGCGCAGGCCAGGCGGGCCCAGTGGCTCTGCTCCCCGCAGTCATTTGGGGCCCAGGTGCTACAGCATCTTGTTGCTCCACCATCTCCTAGGGCACGGTCCCTATCTGTGGGGTCAGGGTTGGGTTGCCACCACGTTGGTGGCTCGCGGGAAGAGGAAAGAGTGCTCACTTAGGGCGAGGGGCGTGGCTTTTTTGTTGGAGGTGATGTCGAAGGTGCCGCGTCACTTCTGCACGTATCCCTTTGAGCCCACCTTGGCCACGTGGCCTAATCTTGCCCTAAAGGAGCCCAGGAAACGTTCTGTCTCCTGTTGCCATAGAAGGGAGCACCGATTTTGAGGAGCAATTATCAGTCTCTGTTACACTGTTCCTCATAAAAACCTGTGGGCTTGTGCTATTCTTTTGCCATTTGGACATCATAAAATGAGCCTCAGAGGCTGTGACTTGGCCACACTCACGCAGCTCGTAAAGGGCATGGCATCTACGTGGTGTGCTTGGGAGAAAAGCCCTCTGGCTGGGAGCCAGGCACCCAGGTCTGACTCAGCCTCGACCCGTCCGGCTGTGCAGCCTTGTGCCAGTTCTTTCCCAACTCGTCTCTTCTCCACGACAAGGGGACTGGGCTGGCCAACCTCCAAGGCCTCTTCCCAGCCCTCTTGTCCCGCCCTCCCTGTTCTTACAGACACTGCAAAACCCGGGAAGCTCCAGACCATCCCCATCCCCGTTGCCAGGTGCTACACCTACAGCTGGAACCAGGACAGCTTTGGTAAGGAGCCGGCTGGGGCCCAAACTGCCGAGCTATCTTTCCAGCCCTGGTCTGTGCGGCTGCCCCCATCCCCCACCTGAGCAGGCCCTAAGCACAGCAGGGCGCGGTGCTGTGAGGCCTGGGCTGGCCCTCAGCCCGCTTCTGCGCCTCCTCAAGTCCCGTCTGCCTGAGCCTGTCCCCGCTCTGAAAGTACACAAGAGGGGACCCAGGAGCCCGGACACCCTGACGGTGCGGCCCTTTGCTTCCCTGCAGACATCCTGCAGGAAATCCTGCTCAAGGAACAGGAGCTGCTCCAGCCAGGGATCCTAGGGGACGACGAAGAGGAGGAAGAGGAGGAGGAGGAGGAGGAGGAGGACTTGGAAACTGACGGACATTGTGTCGAGAGGGACTCCCTGCTTTCCACGAGCTCCTTGGTGTCCCGTGACTCCACCCTGTCCCTTGCCTCCTCCCAGGCCTCAGGGCCAGCCCTTTCCCGCCACCTGCTGAGCTCCTTTGTGTCGGGCCTCTCGGATGGCATGGACAGTGGCTACGTGGAGGACAGTGAGGAGAGCTCCCCCGAGTGGCCCGGGAGGCCTGGCAGCCAGGAACGCCGGGGCCACCGCAGGCCTGGGCAGAAGTTCAACAGGATCTATAAACTCTTCAAGAGCACTAGCCAGCTGGTGCTGCGGAGGGACTCTCGGAGCCTGGAGGGCAGCTCGGACCTGCCCCTGCGGCGGGCAGGCAGCCTCTGCAGCCCCCTGGACAGCCTGGAACCACGCCCCACCCGGGCCCAGCGCTCCCTCTCCCTGCCCCAGCCCAAGCTCGGCACCCAGCTGTCCAGCTGGCTCCTGGCCCCTGCTCCACGCCACCAGCGCCGCCGCCCCTTCCTGAGTGGGGACGAGGACCCCAAGGCTTCCACGCTACGTGTTGTGGTCTTTGGCTCCGATCGGATTTCAGGGAAGGTGGCTCGGGCGTATAGCAAACTTCGGTAAGAGCCGGGATGGGCGGCATCGCTCGCCCTGTGTAGCAGGGCTGTTGGGCCGGTGGAACCTGGGGCCTGGGGCTCGGGGCCTGAGAGGGACCAAGGGTTCCCTTCTCACCGCCTTCTTTTTGCCAGGCGACTGGAGAACAATCGCCCGCTCCTCACACGGTTCTTCAAGCTTCAGTTCTTCTACGTGCCCGTGAAGCGAAACCAGGGGACCAGCTCTGGTGCCTGTCCAGCCCCTCTGAAACAGACACCCCCACCCCACACAGACTCCCCGAGGCACCCCAGCCCTGCAGTATGTCCCCAGCCCTGGGCCAGATGGGGTGGGAAAGTAGAGTGGACGTGAGCGAGTTCTAGCTACCCAAAGGGAGCTGGTTGGAAGTCATCAAAAGTAATCACCTGTGCTTACAGGGCACCTCCTCCTGCCTGGCCCTCAATCCCAGGTCCCTGCCCTGTATTTGGGTATGACATTTTGTCACATGACAAAGGCTGAAAGTTATCTTACTCCTCCAAAGGCAGGGAAAGGCTCAGCTTGGGGCTGCAGCTGCCATCCTGGGCCCTGGAGCTAGGATGGGCAGGCCTCCTGAGTAGCTGGGAATGACCCTTATCTCTTGCCCCAGGAACTGGGCACGGCCCCATGGGAAGAGAGCACCAATGACATCTCCCACTACCTAGGCATGCTCGACCCCTGGTATGAGCGCAATGTGCTGGGCCTCATGCACCTGCCCCCTGAAGTCCTGTGCCAGGTAAGTGGCCCCTGGGGTGGGGGGAGAGGGCCTGCTGGCTCAAGTCACACAGCCTCGATCCAACTTGAGACCCCCTTGGAGGACCAGGGCTCACTTGGACAAGAGCAAGGAGGGTGGGTGAGAAGTAGGACTGAGCCTTAGAGCTGGAGTCACTGCAGTGACAGGGGAGTGTCCTCAAGGGTCCAGGGGACTTTAGATTTCAGCCATGTCCTCAACTCCCGGCCTTGTCCAGCTTGGCCAGAGGCCTCCCCGGAGGCCAGGTGGGGGAGAGGTACCGGGGCAGCCGTGTACCTCCCATTTGCTGCTTCCATCTCACCATCTCTCCCTGGTTCCATCTGCCTTGTATCTCTTCTCTCTGCCTCTGCACGCGTGTCTTTGCCCCTCCTCCTCCCATGTTCTCTTTCTCTCTTGCCCTCTACCCACCTGCCCCTCTGGCCACAGCAGTCCCTGAAGGCCGAAGCCCGGCCCCTGGAGGGCTCCCCCGCCCAGCTGCCCATCCTGGCCGACATGCTGCTGTACTACTGCCGCTTTGCCGCCAGGCCGGTGCTGCTGCAGGTCTATCAGACCGAGGTAAGGCCCGCCATGCCCCACGTCTCCACTTTCGCGTAGACTTACTGGCAGGCCCAGGTCAGCGTCCCCAGGTCCCAGCCCGCGCCCCGCCGGGCTTGCAGGCCCCGCCCCCACCCCATGGCAGCCTGCAGCCCTATGCTGGAGAAGCGGGCGGCCCCCAGGAGGCTCACACGATGCTCACACTCCTGCCCTCTCCAGCTGACCTTCATCACTGGGGAGAAGACGACAGAGATCTTCATTCACTCCTTGGAGCTGGGTCACTCTGCTGCCACACGCGCCATCAAGGCTTCGGGTGGGTACTGCCTGAACCCAGGAGATGGGCGGGGAGCCGGGCCTTGAGGAGGTGGAGCCTGGGGGCGGGGTCACCTGGGAGGCGGGGCCACGGGATCTGTGTGGGGGCGGAAGTGGGAGGGAATGAAGGGTCGACTGCCTGTGTGTGTGGCGCAGGTCCTGGCGGCAGCAAACGGCTGGGCATCGATGGGGACCGGGAGGCCGTCCCTCTAACACTACAGATAATTTACAGCAAGGTAAGGCAGGTGCTGGGACTCCTCCGGGATCTGCTGCTGATCCTTCCTCCACCAGAGCTTGGGCCCAGAGCTGGACTCATATGTTCCTGGGCCCCAGTCTTTAAGCTGGAAAGTCTCAGAAGGCTCCCCCGGATGCTGAGAGAGGGAAGGGGGGGAATGGACATCTCTCTGCCCCTTTGCCTCCAAAGTCTCCCTCCCCGTGTGTTTTCTGCCCTCACCTGCACTCAGCAGCTTCCATGAAGTGTCAGGGGCAGATCTGCTGGGTCCAGCTAGAGAACTGCGGGCGAGAGAGGGGCGGCAGGGGGCTGTGTGAGGCAGTGTGAGAGTCTTCGGGGCTGGTGGCCTGGCTGGCTGCATGCAAGGTGAGAAGGGAGTGTGAAGAGTTGTGGGGAGGAGGTGGGGTGCCCATGAGGCACCAGGACACATGAGCTTCTGAGCAGGTGGCACCCGGGCACAGGCTGACTGGGGCTTGGCCTCACAGGTGGGAGCCCTCCTTCCTCTTTCCTTCGTCCATTTGGAAGATATTTATTTAGCAGCTACTCACACCGCCTCTGTGCTGGGCAGGGGAAAAAGCAGTTGAGCAGGGAAAGCTAGGCCCTCCCTTCTACCTAGAGGAGGGGACAGACAAAGAACAAGGAACCAAGTAAATAGCCAAGATAATTTCAGAGTGGTGAGCGATGACAAGGCAATAAAAGGGCAGATGAATAGTGATGTTGGGGGCTCCTTCGCATTTGGTGGTCAAGGAGGCAGGCTGGGACTGCCCCTCACTGAGTGCTGTGTGCCAGGTGTTTGTTAAACATCTTCTATGGCCCGGACATTGTTCTAGGCACTGGAGTGTTCCTAAGAGTGAGCAAAGGACAGATGTGGTGCTGGTGGACCTGCTCACAGTCTAGAGGGGGTAGTTGGCATTGGTTAGGTGACCCCACAACATGTACAATTACAACTGTGACAAACAGATGAAGGGGAGCTGCACGGTACTGTACCTAAGTGGCAAATTCAGCCCAGTCAGGAGAGTTAGAGAAGGCTTCCCTGGGAAGGGATATTGAGTTAATATTAGAAAGAAAATCAGGAGTTAATGAGGCTGAGAAGAGAGGGATGTGCTCTTCAGGCAGCAGGAACAGCACGTGCAAAGGCCCTGTGGTGGGTGGGAGTGTGACCATCAAAGCGCACTGAAAGAAGACCACAGGGGCTGGAGCAGAGTGAGTAGGAACATGATGATCAGGTGAAGCTAAAGAAACAGGGAGGCCAGCACACCAAGGGCCTCGATTGCAATGAGAGGAATTGTGTCCTTGTCCTAAGGGCAATGGTTGTCCATTAAAGGGGCTTAAGTTTGTGGTGGGGCTGGGGATGCATGAGACGTGATAAGATGTGAGGTGTGGAAGCTCCCTCTGGCAGCTCTGGGAGAACAGACTGGAAGGGTCCACAGGCGAGGCAAGAAGGCCAGTTAGGGGACTAGGTGGTTGTCCAGAAGAGAAATGTGGGCAGCCCACACCAGGGTAGCTGTGGCGGAGATAGAAAGAAATGGGAGACAGATGTGAGTTACGTGACCAGCAGGGCTTAGGGACGGATTAGCAAAGGAGAGGCCGAAACTCCTGGGTTCCAGTCTTCTGTGACTGGCAGTACCATCTCAGGTGGGGAACACAGGAAGAGGCCCAGGTGCAGTGGGGGAGGCTCACGAGTTTGGTTTGGGACATGTTGAGGTGGAGAGGCCCTTGACAGGTGTAAGGAGAAAGTCAGACTAGGCAGTGGGCTGTATGGGCCCAATGCAGAGGTGAAGTGCGAAGATGGGTGCATAGGTGCTGATGGAAACGGCGTGGATGAGATTCCTTAGCAGAGAAAGAGGGGGTACAAAGAGCGGAGGACGTAGGAGAAGGTCTAGAGGACCTTCATAAGGTAACGGCGGGCGGAGGCGGTGATCCAGCAAAGCAGAGAGGCCCCAGCCAGAGAGGTGGCAGAAAAGCCAGATGTGCACCCTCACGGAAGCCCGGGAGAGTTTTCCAAGGAGGAGAGAGTGGCGAACAGAATCAAGCAAGGTCTGCGAGGTCACGTAAGCCGAGGACTGAGAAATGCTCTTGGGTTCACAACATGGAGGTCCCCGATGAAAGAGACACACAGACAGGGACCCAAAGAGGGCGTTCTGGTCTGGCTCTGCCAGGAACGATGTGCCCATGGGCCCATCTCTGCGTCACTCTGGGCTCAGCAGGACAGTCTCAAGACCATCCCTTCAGGTGCTCCTAGCTCTTGTGCCCTGGTCGTGGAGGCTGACCCCTGGACCAAGCCAGTGACCTGCCGAGCCTCCCTGGAGCCATCCGAGTCTATCTGGGGTGGTGCAGGGCTCTGGCTAATGAGAAGGAGCTTCCTGGGGATGTGCGGACTGCAGGCAGCACCCTGGCCCTGGTGGGTCTTCAAAGGAAGGCAGCAGGCACAGGGGGCTCTGGGCTGAGAGGGTCTGGCTATGCTGTTTCCAGGGGGCCATCAGTGGACGAAGTCGCTGGAGCACCCTGGAGAAGGTCTGTACCTCCGTCAACCTCAGCAAGGCCTGCCGGAAGCAGGAGGAGCTGGGTGAGTGGGGCGGGCGGGGGGACGGGGCAGGGGGTCCTCTGAGCCTGGCCTGACCGAGACTTGCCCTTCAGACTCCAGCATGGAAGCCCTGACGCTAAACCTGACAGAAGTGGTGAAAAGGCAGAACTCCAAATCCAAGAAGGGCTTTAACCAGGTAAAGGCTTCCCTCTCCTTCCAGCCACATCCTCAGGAAACACGTTGGAGCGTGCATGTGTGTATGTGCATGTGTGTATGTGCATGTGTGTGTGTGTGTGTTTATGTACGTGCAGGCACATGTATATGTGTGCATGGGCACAGGTTCATGTGTGTGTCTGTGTGAGAGAGAAAGGAGGTGTCTGCAGTGTCTGGGTGGCAGAGGAGACGCAGGGTGAGGACTGTGGTTTTGGGGGTGCACAGGTGTGCGGTGCCGCGGGGTGTCAGGGAGGGAGGGGTGCCTGTGAGAGGGTGTGTACCTACGGAAAGGCTGTGGACGGGCTTGAGCAGAGCTTTGAATCTGAGCAGCTTCACGGCAGGGAGCCCGGGGCTCTCGCGGGGAGGGCGGTGGGCAGCACAGGGTCTCCTCAGGGGGAACTTCTTCCCGACTCGGGAAAGGGCAGAGGCAGGGCCTGATGGGGGCCTCAGCAGCCCTCCCCTGACCTGGCCATTAACCCTCGAGAGCTGCCAGCCAAACTCCTGCCCCATCTCCAGGACCCGGGTGGGCAGTTCTGAGAGAAGGGCCTGGCGGTGTCCGAGGTCCAGGCTTCAGGGCTGACCTGGGCCTGCCTTCCAGATCAGCACGTCGCAGATCAAGGTGGACAAGGTGCAGATTATCGGCTCTAACAGCTGCCCCTTTGCCGTGTGTCTGGACCAGGACGAGAGAAAGATCCTGCAGAGTGTGGTCAGGTGGGCAAAGGGGGTCCTGGGAGGGGTCAGTTTCTGCTCCCCCACCCAGAGGCCTGGAAGGAGCCGGAGGGATGGGCCCTGCCCTTATCCCTGAACCCATTGTGCCCCCCAGGTGTGAGGTCTCACCCTGCTACAAGCCGGAGAAGAGCGGCCTCTCCCCGCCACCCCAGAGGCCCCCCAACCCGCTGGCCCAGGCCACACCCGACCTCTGCTCCCTCCTGTGCCTGCCCATCATGACTTTCAGTGGAGCTCTGCCCTAGTGCGGGCCTGGTGCCGGACTGCGCAGGACGCGCGGGGCGGCCCCCTCTGAGCCCCCTCCTGGACGTGCGCTCTCTGGAGAATGGAATCACCCTGTGCTGGGTCAGGGTCCCGCTGCCATGGGCGGGGGCCAGGAGCAAGATGGTTTCTGGGGCCTTGGGGCTCTGGGAAAGTAACAGGCATTAGTGTGGCAATCGAGTGGGGCCTGACCCCGTAGCCTCTCACGTTCCTCGCAGGGGAAGGAGAGGGATGGGTGAGTTGACCTCCGAAAGCCCTGACTACTCTCACGGTCTAGGATCCTTCCTAGAAGGAAGATCTGAGGCTCCGGTGCTCTGGGGTGTGGGTTAGGCCTCTCCCAACGCGTGGCTGCGCCTACCCCTCACTTTGCCAAAGACTTGGGGAACCCTTTGTGTCAGGAGTTCAGTCCCCTCCACTCTGGGGCTCGGGTGGTAGAAACGCGCGCACGAGACTTTTCTTTCCCTGGGTACCACCCCTCCCCCCAGACACACACGCACCCGCCCGGTTTCTCTCTCTCGGGTTCCCCGGGCTTCTGAAAAGCAGCACTAACAGTGGACCTATCTGTTGTCAAGACCTGGTACAGACTTTCCCTTGAGCGCCTTTCTGGATCTCAGATCCTTGGGAGGCAGAACAGGTTTCGGTGCAATAGCAGCTCAGTTCCCTTCTAGCCAAATAACCAGAGGACGCAAATTAAATTTGAGCTTCCATTTCCTCAGCATGAGAATGGCGGGGCAGGAACAAGTCCTCCTTAAAAGGTCGAGAAGAGATTGTCTGCAAAGACCCGGTCCCGTGCCAAGATTAGTGCCTCACCCTCTAAACGCTGATTCCTCCTGTTTGGGGCCGCTGGGGTATTCTCAGCCTCTGGAAAGTTCCTCACTCCCACCTTCCCAACTCATGGCTGAGGCAGAACCCAGACTGAGGAGGAATCGCGTCGGTCAGGGTAAGGGAGGGCTGCTCAGGTGCCCCACCCCACACCCCCTTCTCTGTCAGGTTGGCCCCAGTGCCCCCCACTTCCATCTCACTCTTTGGGCTGGTGCACGTTGTGTGTAGAATCTTCCATACCCACGAGTGCACTGGCACCGTTCCGGCACCTGGGCGAGGTTCCAGAGCAGAGCTTGGAGGGACTGGCCCCTCGGGGCTTAGTGCCTGCTGGTGGGAAGACGGGACTGATGCGTGGGAAATGAGAGAACGCAAGAGCCTGGAATTTCAAACGGCCAGGCTGGGTTGGTTGGCAAAGTTGGAAGCAAGTGTGGACTAGGGCAATAGGGTGCAGGCAGGACCAGGGTTTGGGCTGGTAGAGGTGAAGAAAGTGACCAGAAGCATCAAGCTGTATCCCACACAGAGCCGCTTCTTCTCCTGATTCATCCTGCTCAGAAGGCCCTGGGCTCATCAGAGCCTGTGAAATCGCAGCCTGGAGATCTTATGACTTGAGAGAAGCGGGCAGGGCCAGCCCCGCCCTGTCTCGCCATTCCTCGCCGTCCTTCCCGTCCTTCCTGTCCTCTCCATCCTCCCCGTCCTCGCCGTCTGCACTTGCTCCAGGCTCCAGAGAGTAGGGGGACCATGTACCTTGTTGTACCTTTTGTACCTTTTCAGTACCTTTTTGCTGTGTGAGCAGGGTGTCCTACTACCTGATCAACAGACGTCCAGGAATTAATGAGTGGAATTTAATATTATTGTCAAATAAAACTTGATTCATCTTGTATTTAATGACCAAGTTATTTTGCTGCATGACACGTAACTGCTAATTGGGCAGTTTGCATAAATCATTTCATATATAGCAGAAATAAGATTCTTGGGAGATTGTTTTGTTTATATTTTTGTAATTTTCCGCTCTATAGAAAATACATTTGGGCTAAAATTTTTCCCCAATACTGTTCCATGTAAGCCTCATCATACTCATTGACCCACAGAACAAAAAATCCTAGACTTAAGGACTCAACATTTGGGGTTTTCTGTGGTGCCTCACTTAAGAAATAGAAGTCCATAAATCCAGCTGCTCCCAGTATCCCAAGCCCCAGGCAGGGGATGGGCCTGAGGCTGTTGTTATTGACGGGGTGCATGGACCCTGGACCTACCATGCAGCTGAGAGGAAGCGAAGGGAGCTCAGTGGTGGCCCTATGCATCTGGAGGGAGAGAGGAGGAGGTGAAGGGATGGTGGAGGATGCCTGTGACTTGGGAGAGGAGAGCACTGTGCTCCCAGAACAACTACTCAGGAGAGAGGGAAGGAACTGGGAGATGCTCTAACCTGCATCAGCTAGCTATTGCAAACAGTAAAGCACACCTGGAAGTCAGTGGATTAAAGCTCTGGTCATTTATTCTTGCTCATGCATCTACAGGACACCTAGGGAGCATCAGATCCAGGTTGGGCTCAGAGTGGCTTAGCTCCAAGCTGCAGGGTGGGTACAGATCCACCCAGTGGGTCTCTCAGGCACATCACATGCTGGCACAAAAGGGCAAGTGGAGACATGCGATGCCTCCTAGGGACAGGACCTGGAACTGGAACAGGGTCCCTTCTGCCAACATTCAATTGGCCAAAATCTATAATGAACATCAACCTGCAGATTCAATAAAGTCAGCAAATCTATACAGGATAAAAGCAGTATCACCTGAGAAGGGCACTTCACCTCTGCTATTCTTCCCATAACCCCAGTCTCATCCTGAGAAATTGTACAAACCCGGATTATGGGATGTTCCATCAGATACACTGACCAGTGCTCTTCTGGACTGTCAGTGTCATGAAAAAGGAGAAATTGAAAAACTCACAGATTAAAGGAGACTGGGTAAACCTGAAACCTAGTGATGCGTGGTGCACGGAACAGAATCCTGAAACAAAAAGAATATTAATGGAAAAGCTAGTGAAATCCCAATAAAGTCTGGAGTTTAGTTTTTGTTTGTTCGTTTTTTTATTTTCATCGGGTATTTACTAGGAACAAGAAACCACACGTACATAATATAATTTAATGATGTGTGTGTATTTGATGTAATTTAATATTCAATGAAACCCCTCAATGTAGACAACATCCCAAATTTGTGCATGGGTACTGCAAGACATGGAGAAATTGTGAGACTTGCCTCACTTCCTAAGCTTTACAAGGAGCTGGACAGGAATTTGGACCCAGATCCGTTGGCTGTTTGCCTATCCTGTGATCCCAGTTCTGTTGTTGTTGTTGTTTGGTTTTTGTTTTACTACAGCACTGCCCTGCCTTTCTTTATGTGGCAGCGGGGTAATCAATATCAGGGCTCGTTGATATATCAGGGTTCAGGGGGATTGTGGGAGGGGATTTCATCAGGGAGCTGTGTGTGTTGTTTAAAAAACCTAAACTAAAATGGAGTTTAGTTTTTTTAAACTACATACACATAGGCACCTCATTGTCAAACTTCTAAAGAAAAAAAAAAGGTAATGAGAAAATCTTAAAGACAGCCAGAGAAAAATAATACCCTTTATCTTCAAAATATCCACCGTTAAACTGAAAGCTCCCTTCTCGACAGAAACAATGGAAGCCGGAAGACAATGAAATGGCATCTTTAAAGTACAGGGGGACAGAAGAAGGCTGCCAACCTAGAATTCTACCCCCAGAATTGTCTGATGATACTTTTTAAAAACTTACATACTGCTCACAAGAGAGACACTTTGAATATAAGGTCACAGAAAGGCTAAACCTAACCAAAAAGGTGGTGGTGTTACACTAATTTCCAAAGACTTAAGGCAAGAAGCATTACAAAAAATAAAGAGGGGCGTTTCATAAAGATCAAGGAGTCAATCCAACAAAAAGATATCACAACTGTATATCTGTACGTATTCAATAACATAACATAAAACTATATAAAGCAAAAACTGGCAGAATTAAAAGTCTTCGCAGCCATAGTGGAGGATTTTAACATTCCTCTCTCAGTAGCTTGTAGAACAAATAGACAAAAAAAAAAAAAAAAAAATAGAGATGTAGAAGATCTGGGCAACACAATTAACAAATTTGATCTTATTGAAATAGAACATTGTGCTCAACAGTAGCAGAATTCACATTAATTTCAAGTACATCTGGAATGTCAAAATGATTGAAAAAAAAAAACCAGAGTAATTTCTCTGACTACAATGAAATTACACTAGCAATAGCAAAAATATTACTAGAAAATCTCAACTGTCTAAGCACTACATATCTACATAACCCATGGGTCAAAAAAGAATAAAAATGGAAACTAGAAAATACTTTGAACTGGTTGATAATGAAGATATGATATTAAAATTTGTGGGATGCCAAAGTAATGCTTAGAAGGAAATTTATTGTCATAAAAAGTATATCTTATAAAGGAGTAAAGGCTAAAAATCAATTATTTACATCTCAAAAAGCTAGAAAAAGCAGTAGATCAATCTTAAAGTAGAAGGAAGGAAAGAAGTATTAGGTCATTAAATATGAAATGTCTGACTTTGAATCAAAATTTAGTTTATTATATCTCAAACAAGAAGCAGTACAATTAATCAAAGTATGCGCCTAAACTATCAGCACAGTTTTGCCGTCTTAATGGTAGCTTGTTTATACCAGCAGTGAAGAAGCCTGGAGAGTGTGTGGCGATGAAATCGTGAAAGGCATTTTCCACAGTTAGTTGAAAATTGAATATTTTTCCTTGCAAGAAGTGGTCCAAAGCCTGGAAGAAATGGTAGTTAGTTGGTGCAAGGTCTGGTGATTATGGTGGGTGACAGAGTTTCCAAGTCCAGCTGCTGTAGTTTGAGCAGCATTGTTTTTTGCAACGTGTGGTCTTGCAAGAGGATTGACTTTGTCTCTATTGACCAGTCTTGGCTGCTTAATCATCAGCATCCTCATCATTTCATCCAGCTGGTTGCAGTAGATATCCACTGTAATTAATTAACCAGGTTTCATGAAGCTGTAGGGGATAATACCAGCGCTGGACCACCAAACACACACCATTAGCTTTTGTTGATGAATATTAGGTTTTGGACTGTGTTTTGGCACTTCATCTTTATCCAACCATTATGCCAAATGCTTGCAA